AAGCTAGATATACGAATTTCTATTGTCGAAAGATAATATTTGCGATATGGAAATGAAATACACAGCTTCTTAAGTTGAATCGGTTTTAATTTTTGACAGTACACAGAAGTATATCGTGTAATGCAATTGAATAAGATTATTACGTTCCAATGTGTTTATTCATTCTTCTGGAGAGGAAGGACGGTAAATAGCTATAAGGCAAAGGATAGAAATAATTAACTCGGACGCTAACAGTACCAATTGTATGCTGCAAAGAATTACTTCTAATCTAAGTACATAATTTTGCCAGAGTAAAAAGTATAACGTTGCTAAGGAACTAGGTACAGTTAAAATAACTCCAATAAGAATTGGTAGTCCATGTTCTGTTAAATTTCCTTTTCTTCCAAGATAAATCCTAGCTCCTTCTGTGATTATAAGGAAGAATAGGAGGGCAAATTCTGTCAACGTTGTACTTGTGCCAGGCGAAGGAAGATTTGCAGCCTTGAAAAATCCCATTCCTAATTCACATATGGCAAACATACCAAAATAAAAAGAGTTTAGATACATAAGAATTTCATATGTTAAAGATGAACTGGCTATCGTGGGCATCTTATCAGATTTTGAAGAATACTAAAAGGCTGTGCATTCATCAGACGGTACATAATGTTAATTCATTCCATGGAAATTTTTTCAAGAGAAGCATTGTTCTTCTTAGTACTCATTTGGGTTCAATGCCTTCAGTATATAGTCTGCCCTTTCTGTTTATTTATTCAACTATGTTTGTTCATTTATCTGGGCTGTAGAACTAACGAATATTTTTGGTTGGGCGCTGTTTGGGAGTAATAACCTATTAATTCGATGTATTGTTATTTTCGAACTTTGCAGTATTTAATTTTCATTTTTATCCATTGAAATTCATTTGAATTATCTGCAATATAACGATATTGTCATTCTTAAGTGTTGCGCGCGAATAGAAATTGTTTGCTTAACATAATTTTGTCAACGTGTTGTAAATAAATACATACATGCGGAAATAAATTTTGAAGTATAGAAATGACAACGTTAGTAGATTATCGTAATAAGGGATTGGTGAAAAGCTGTTCTTAACGACTATCAGCCCGGAAAAGATTGGGGCGATCAAGTTTGGTTAGGAAAGTATAAACACAAACGAATCTTTTGGGAATAATGTAGTCACAGCTATCATTCCCACTATTTCCTTTGAAATTTCGATCTTTCGTTACATTTTCTTGACTACACATTCAACGTTTTAGATACGAAAGCTTACATGTATGTATATGTACGTCGAAGGGAAATCTATCTAGTAGAGAAATCTATTTTCATAAAGGAATACATTCACTGGCGAATTTATCGAGCAGTGTTACCAAACGAGGAAAGAAGAAATGTACGTAATTTGATTATACGTACATATGTAATTTGAAAGATTTTGGAACATGTACATATGTGTATCTGTTTGAAAGCATATCAGGAAGGTAATTAAAAAAGAAAAAAAAAATTGCTTACTTACATATGTTCGGTATGTGAGGTTGAATAGTGTTTAACTTTAAGAAATACGAAACACATGTATACATCGAAAGAAAGATTTTTATTGAATTCAATTGAATTCAACTACGGAATACGAGTGAGTTGCGTTAATGGTGTTTCAACGAAACATAAATCCATCGAAGTAATCGATCGTTTATTATGGGAAAGTGATCGCGATTGAGTATTATCAGCAATGGCTCTTTATTCGAATTTTTCGAGAATGTTTCGTGCTAGTAAATTACTTGAAAGTCAGAGAGAGAAATGGAAAAGGAAGGGTCGAGCCTATTTAGCGCCGATTCCATTTCATCGATTGACAACGAACAACATTAACAACTTGCAGTACTCTAAGCGAGCAGTTAAAGCTATACTGATTCTCTCTTACAAGCCCGAGTATAAAGGGAGAATTCACGAAAATGACCGGTTAGTAAAATATACGGAACGTGAGAGTTTGTTCGATGTTATTTTGATCGTGGGAAGAATTTTTGTGATAGGATCTGTCGTTACCGGATTGGCTATCGCATATTTGATCACACGTTTTACGCACGGATATGTTTTTCCCATGGTGTTACGGAAAAGTAATTATTCGTTGGTCGAGGGAAAGTGGCGAGTTCTACATATAGGCTATATCTAAGTTTGAGAATTTCCATTAACCTCCAAGAAGGTTTTGAACGACGTGGCGTTGTTGCGATTGCAGGTATCGAATTTCTCGGACCGATTTTTATAAAATTTGGTCAATGGGCGTCTACGCGGAAAGACTTGTTTCCCGAAGATATTTGTCGTACGCTTTCGCAATTGCAACGAACCGCTTCTCCGCATTCTTGGATTTATACTAAAGAATTGCTGAAATGTGTATACGGGTTGAATTGGAGGGATGTGTTCGTAAAATTCGAACACGAAGTACCACTTGGATCGGGGTGTTGCGCTCAGGTATATAAAAATGAAACGGTATCTTCTTGGTTGTTACTTCTGTTCAATCGATTACTTGTCCAATCGATAGGTGTACAAGGCATGGGTGGATCTGAATGCTCGATTGGAAATAACGCGAGAACCTCGAGTGTCTACGTTTGTTCAAAGTAAAAAAAAAGTTTTCAAAGGTTTCTTCTGTTGTAGGCGGAAGTTAAAGGATTGATTGAAATAGTAGAAATTTCAATTTTTCCCCAACTCTCGATGTATCGCGAATTCTAAATTCAATCTTGTTACAGTTGTCGAATATTTGAGACTTGGTTCGTTGGTCGACTTAATCGGTAAATACGTATACCAATATTATGCGATATTCAGTTGGAAATACATACTTGTATGTATGTATGTATGTATATTTGAGGCGGCATAAGAACAGATGAATTTTAGAGGGAACGTTGAACGGTGGTAAGGTCGATGAAATAGAAGAGAATAAGGACGAGTCTAGCAACGGGCAGAGACTGCAACCTGTAGCGGTAAAAGTTTTACATCCTGGAATTAAAGGGCAACTAAGGTATTAGAGTAATATAATACATATATGGTATATGATCTCTATGTCCTTTTTTCTTCTTTCATTTAGGAGAGATCTTAGCATAATGAGAGGAATTTGTAAATGCGTGACATACATGATGCCACAGTTGCAATGGCTCAGTCTTACCGATTGCATCGACGAATTTTCACATATAATGGAAAATCAAGTGAATTATTACCACCTTATCCGTATCTCGATTATAGATACTTACCTTTACGATGTTTCGTAAAGGTTGACTTGAACTTGGAGGAAGCGAACTTGATTCAATTTTCGAAGAATTTTTCGGGAAAGGAAGATGTTATTTTTCCGCGACCGTATACGAATTTTACTCAACGCGAGATACTGGTCGAAAGTTATCACGAGGGCACCCCTATTTCTGATTACCTCGATCGTGACAACGACCGCGACAACGACCGCGACAGCAAGTTTCAAGGGACATTGGCGAAAATAGGAATAAAAACAATCTTAAAAATGGTTGGAGATAATATATTTTCAATGGATAGCGCATCGATGAATTGGTGATAGTTAATAGGGTTATCGGGGAAATTACAGGTATTCAAAGACAACTTCATTCACTGCGATTTGCATCCTGGTAATATCTTGGTACAAAGGAACTGCGAGCCAGCTGCTGGAAGAATTACCGGTTGGCTTTGGAAATTTCTCGATCGCAATTACTTACCGAATAATCCACGTTTAGTCATACTCGATTGCGGTTTAGTAGTATCTCTGAACGATCGATGTCGGCAAAATCTTCGAGACGTGTTCCGTTCGGTACTTATGGGCGACGTACGTGTAGATCACACTTTCCCCTTTCAACTTATATTTCGTTCGTTAGAAAAAAGGAAATTCGGTTTTAGGGCGAGTTGGCGGCAGAGTACATCCTGGAACATAGTTCGCACGAGTCCCTCGATCCGGATGGTTTCAAGAGTGCAATGAGAGACATCGTAAATTCGCATCTTGGAAGTAGAGTGAACGTATGTAATATAATATGTATAGAAATGGACGAGGTTGTGCAGGCAGGCAGGCAGGTTGGAAGGAAAAGAGACCGAGTTGAAGTTTAAAATGTTGCAGGTGAACGTAAGTACCGTTGTGGCTGAATTGTTTTCCGCGATGGTTCGGTACCGAGTGAAGCAGGACGGATCCTTCAGCAGCGTAATTCTTAGTATGGTAGTGATCGAGGGCCTCGGACGTAGCCTGGATCCGAGTATCGATATTTTCACGGAAGTTGTACCGTTCATTTTTACAAGCAACAGAAACATGTACGAGGATTAAAAACGGCGGAAAGATTTGAAATAGCGAAAGGTGTTGCATGAAAGATCTTTCTCGTTCCAGTAATCCTAACGTAATTCCTACGGTTTGAGAATTTTCAAAGGGGGGAAGTGCCGGAGGAATAAGTTGTACAATATTATCGAGTATCTACGTGTACGCGGGTCGTCGCCACCGAATAAAGTACCGCACGAGAAAATTACCGTTTTAATAACCTGGTGTTAAACGAGTTCCGAGAATGATTCCGATTTTAGTGCATGTATACAGACTATACGGAAACGTGTAATCGCCACGGACAGAATTCCGGCGAGTGACCAGTTGTCCATGATCGCTTCCTGGTTGGTCGACCATCTTCGGAACGACCACCTGTACGTGTGTGTATTCGCGCAAGTGTTCCGTGTTGCAACTCTCGTGTGCTTTCGTATGTGTTTATCTAGAGGGAGTTGCGCAACAGCTCTTCTTACCACTTTTCTATTTACCTAGCGATTTTCCTCCCGCGAATCGAGCCGATTCGAGTGTCTCTCTCTCTCTCTCTCTCTCTCTCTCTCTCTCTCTCTCTCCGAAACATCCAGCCGTTTTATTTCACTTGGTTCGAAACGAGTTTCGACCTTCTGTTTCGTACCACGCGTACATACGTTCACGCCCTTCGTAGATACATCAGCTACACATTTCTTGCCCCTACCGACCACACGTTCGTTCTAGCTCGTTCCATGCGATCGATCTGCGCTTCTCATTGCCGTTTCCCGCCGTACGCATGCCGAACAAATAATCTTTCACGATTACTCGATAATTTCGTTACCACTGCTGCTATTCCCTTCGTTCTCTATTCCTTTATTCGCATCTTCCGAAATATTTACCGCCGCGAGCAGTTGACCGAACGGCTTTGCCAATTGCAGAATGAAAGAGAGATAACGGAATTTTACCGTTCCGAAGGATATAACCGGTCGTCGTGGAGTTTTCGCGTTTTGGAGTTTGTTGGTCGGTAGAGGATCGCGCCATCTGCCGAACGTGTCGTGATCGCTTTAACTTGGAATCCCCACCAAGGTAACCTGCCCCCTCCGACGAAGATGATCAGGCTACTACTGTTGCGGCGCGGTGCGGCGCGGCGCGTCGCCGCACGTTCAGCTAGCAAAAGGAACGGCGAAGAAGCATGGAAGCAGAGTTCCAAGCCAAATAAGAGTTCATTTCCGCGTGCAGTGCACCGGAGATGAACCAGAGCTCTCCGCTCCCTCGATCGTTTGTTTTCGGTACAGCGAACATTTTTCCAAATACAGTGTAATAATTCGTGTGTCTAGGCTGCAGCAACTAGCATATGCGTTCAACAAATTAACCACACCTTAGAGAGTCTGCGCAATTTTTTTTTCAACCCTTTTTCTTTCCCTCTTCTAGCTCGATATCCAGTTCTTCTATCTCCTTGCATTTCCTTACACGGTCCACTTTCTTCAACTCTACTCCTCTTTTTATCCTAGGAGGATAGTTTCGCGGAGGTACGTTGCTTTTCATTCTGTTATCAACGTTGTTGCGGTTACGGTTGATTTTACCGCAAGTACTGGCAAAACCACTATCGCGAGGGCGAAGACGACGACGATGACGACAATTACGACGATGACATTTGGTGTCTCCTTTTAACTGTACTTGGGGCTACGCAAGTTGCATCCTGTGTAAGTAGAAGAACGTGTCCTTTTCATCTCTATCTCGATCGAATCTCTTCAAGTTCCGGGTACGAACGGTTGATCGTTGTCTCGAATTGAAAGCGGTACGCGCGTTTAGAAAGAACTGTGTGAACACGTGGTTCATCATTGGGAAAGGCGTAGAGGCGTAACAGTAGGAACGATCGATCGTCGAAGAAGAATTTCTTCGTTCATTTCTCGTTGCTCTAGTTCCTTTCGAGATAATCGTCAACGATTCATCGTCTATTCGTAAAACGAATAGAACGGAAGAAGATTTGTTTATCTGCGTAACGTTTAGAATTGATCAGCTGTTTAGAAGGCTGCGTCGGACATTTGGGCTGGAAATTAGATCGAATCAATCCGAGGACAGCGATCGTAGTAGGTTTCGCGCGACGCACGTGTACAGCACGCTGAAACGTAAATATCTGTAATCTTACGACGAATAATACGTTGGCAAATGTATATAAATATAGAGCGTGTTTATCGGGAAATGTGAAACGTAAATACTGAATTGACCGTCATGTAGGTCGCGCTGAGATAATGTGCATTTATTATAACTTTCACGATTTAAATACGTTTATTAGGCGCATCAAGGAAGAATAAAGATTTACGTAACGCTCTTCTCTTTGGTTTCTTGCACTTTCTATCGAAATTCTGTACTTTGTACCTTCTGAGATTGAAGAATGTTCCAAGAGAGGCTTGGAACGGTGAAAAATTCTCTTTCTTCGACGATCGATATAGGCGGAACAATAACGGTCCTCTGATTGCCCTTTGTCCGTTTAATCGTCCGTCTGTTGGAACGGGAACGTAGAGGGGTGAGGATGAGTAAGTATGCGAGACACGGTCGATCGCGACGATTCTTCGACTTTTCATCGCGTTCCGCTCGTTTTCAATCTGATTCAATTTCCGACTCGGAGTAACGGTCAACGATGGATCAATTAGAACGGAAGATTCTTCCGCGTGCCTTGGAGAGAGTCGGTCCTTGGCGAGTAAACGAACGAACTTGACTTTGCCGGAATTATGTAAGGAAGAAAAAGTTGTTACGGCATCGATTCGATCGTGCTACGAATTACCAATTAAGTAAGTTTTTGTATTTGGTATCGCGTATTTAGGCATTTTCTCCTCGATCCGTGTAACAGCTCTTCGCGATTAGCGCGTCAAAGAGAGAGAGAGAGAGAGAGAGAGAGAGAGAGAGAGAGAGAGCGAGAGAGCGAGAGCGAGAGCAGCAGGGTCATCGCGACGACACGCGTTATCGACGCGTACCGCAAATAGAAGAAACTGCCGGTCCGTAAATAACACTGGGGCAGTCAGTCAACCTCGAGTGGACTCGGAGAAGCGGCGGTGTGTGATTTTTTCGCCGACGGATTAATCGCTCGCGACCGAGGCTTCTTCCGCGAGCGCAACAGGGCCTATCCGGGCTATCAGGGCCTAGCATACGCGGCACTGGTTCGCTCTTCTCAACCGAAGCTAGAAGTAACTAGCTCTCTCTCTATCAATTTCCTGTTTCGCGTTCGTTCTCCAACCCTACCTAGCTGGAATCTAGGAGCGTTCTCAGGCTATTAGGCCGCGCGTATCAGCCATTTGCTCGCATTTTACGCGGTTGGTCGACTCGCGTCGCGTCGCGACGGCTGTTACGCGCGTGTGTCGTACATCCCTCCTCCTCCTTCTGCTGTCGTCGAGATAACGAACGTCTGTGAAAATAATAATTGTTTGTCGAGTCGAGGCGACGGGAGTACGGGATGCGTACCTTTCGCCTAAAAATCGTCGTCTCGCGACGATAAGAATCGACGATCGGCGTACCAGCACCGAATCCTCGAATAAAGCGGAGATTTTGTTGGTGTTCCCGTAGGAGAACACGGTCACGATCTGGCGTTCCGAGATGTTACTTTCGAGCGCCTGGTTCGAGGTAATCGCAGCAACGCTTTTGACGATATTGATCTTCGCGACTAGTTATCGGCCGGCTTGGTGGTTCTGGATTGGAGCGTCTCAGAGGAGCAACGGTGAGTTTACAACCGCATGTGAAACTGAATTTCTACGGTTAGCAGCTGAAAGAGAAGAAAGAGGACTGTTTTCGCCGCGTCCGTTTCGTCCGAAGAAAATGACGTTTCGTTTGGGTGACCTTCGGTTTGAAGCGGCGCGTATGTACGGTCACGGTCCCCTTTCTAAGCTCCTCGAAACTCGCGCGCGGTTCAACGACGACAAGGTCTCGGCATCGGCATCGGCCTCGCGCTTCAACGTCCTTCAGCCGTTCAAACAGCTTTCTTGCGAACAAACTGTTCCGCTCCGAGTTTACCCAATCTGCCGTTCCTTTTTCGCGTCCGTCATTTTCACCTCTCTGAATATCCGTGATTGCTCGACAGCTCCGGCCGAAGGGAAGCAGCAAGATAGAAAGTTTCGAACGGTATCCGACGTCCCAGGACCGTACCCTTTGCCCATTCTTGGAACCAGGTGGATATTCTCTCGCATCGGATCCTACAAATTGACCGGCGTTCACGACGCTTACAAAGGTGAGAACCTTTATACATATATGTATAAGCTTGTACGATCCGTCGGTGTTACGCGCCAAATCCAGTCTCGACCAACGGTTCAAACTATTTCCAACAATCACCCCTAACGTCTTGTGTACGTTTTAACGCAGCGGATTCTTTCCGATTCAAGAATAGATTTGAATCAACGATACGGACCGTTGTGTAAGGAAGAAGCATTATGGAACTTTCCCGTCATCTCTGTCTTCTCCCGTCGGGATATCGAGGCTGTACTCCGACGAAGTTCCAGATATCCTCTTCGCCCTCCGCAGGAGGTCATATCCCACTATCGGCGAACTCGTCGAGATCGTTACACGAATCTCGGTTTGGTCAACGAGTGAGTAATTTTCGGACCGTACGTCAGAGAGAATTTAAAGTCGAATAAGAATTGAAACGAACGACCAATTCGATAGACAGGGGCAAACGTGGCACGATCTTCGGACAGCTCTTACATCGGAACTAACAGGGGCCAGCACCGTCCTTGGCTTCTTCCCGGCTTTGAACGTCGTCGCTGATTCGTTCGTCGAGTTGATTCGTCGACGAAGAACGGGATGTAAAGTGGCAGGCTTCGAGGAACTTGCCTACAAAATGGGACTCGAAAGTGAGCCTCATTCTCCTCGCGATTCCATCGTTTCTTCTTCGACCCCCTCCCCCCTCTCTCTCTCTCTCTCTCTCTCTCTCTCTCTCTCTGTATAGGTACCTGCACTTTGATCTTGGGTCGACACCTCGGTTTTCTAAAGCCAGATTCTAGCAGCCAAATCGCAACCAGATTAGCGGAAGCGGTCAGGGTCCACTTTACGGCCTCGCGCGACGTTTTTTACGGATTGCCGCTGTGGAAGTTGTTACCAACCTCCGCGTACAAACAGCTGATAGAGAGCGAGGATGCTATATACAAGTGCGTTCCAAGTCATTTACATATATGTAATCACATACATATGCAGAAGAAATAGCTTGGATTTATATCGTTTCAGCATCATTTCGGGAATCGTCGAAACCACTATATGGGAGAAGCGAGACGACGCTAAAGACGAGTCCGTCGAGGCTGTCTTTCAATCAATTCTAAAGCAGAAGAGTCTCGATATACGAGACAAGAAGGCAGCTATCGTCGATTTTATAGCGGCTGGCATACACACTGTGAGTTAACGATACGCGCGATACTGCTCTTTCTCTACACCTTTTTTTCTCTTGGATCGCGCGCAGCTAGGAAACACTCTGGTATTTCTGTTCGATTTGATCGGACGTAATCCAAGGGTGCAAGAGAAACTTTACGAAGAGGCGTACTCGTTGGCACCGGCTGGTTGCGATTTGACAACCGACGATTTGAAACAAGCCAAATACCTACGAGCATGTATCACCGAATCATTCCGGTGCGTTGCTTTGTTCGAAAAGAAACATTCGGTACAACTTTTCTCTCTCGTGCATCATCATGATCGTTTTACCTTTAGAATGATTCCGACGACAACCTGCATCGCTCGCATCTTGGACGAACCCATTGAGCTGACCGGTTATCATCTTACCACAGGAGTAAGCAACAATCGTGATTAGTTCGTTCGCGCCGATATCGTTCTTCCGTTATATTTTCTGCTGGTCCGAATTTTTGCTCGCAGACCGTGGTCCTTTTACACACTTGGATAGCAGGTTTGAACGAAGAGAATTTCAAGAATGCCGGAGAATATTTCCCCGAGAGGTGGTTAACGCCCGTTGGTGCGCATTCGCCGTTATTGGTTGCACCATTCGGAGCTGGGAGAAGGATATGCCCGGGTAAGCGGTTCGTGGAACTCGCGCTGCAGCTTATTTTGGCAAAGGTTCGTATTCACGCGCGACACGCGTTGCTTGCTATTCTCACATCGATTCTTTTCCTCCTTCGCAGATTGTACGGGAATTCGAGATCGTCGTGGACGAAGAGCTTGCTTTGCAATTTGAATTTATTCTCGCGCCGAAAAGCCCGGTCTATCTTGGCTTCCGCGATCGTCCGCAGAAGACGTAGCCAATTCTCCCTCCTTATTTTTCTACTTTTCTACCCCCTGTCCGAAACATCTCCATTCGGAATACTTATCACGTAGTATTTATATTTAATCGCGTCCGCGCGACCTTTCTTTTTACGTGCTTTTTTGTATCGCGAACGTTACAAAAATAAGTAAACGGTAAAACATTTGATTTGGATCGACGATATAAGATCCATGTAAATAAAATGAATGTGCCAGAAATTTGTTCACTTGTTCAACAATTTACCATTACCGTGTGACACGTTTCTTCTCGCTTCTCGCTTCGGTTTCTCGTAAAGGGAAGTTTCTCTTTTTCTCCAACAAAATTAAGTAGCATTTATTTACTTTTTGTTATCGATGTAACTCACGCGCGTATCGCGCAGGCTTAGTTAGTTATAATACATATGCATGCAATTGTTCGAAAAGACTGGAAGAGATTATCAGATACATTAGCTAAATTGACATAAATTATAGATACTCGTCTAATTCAACATCGGACGACCCGAAATTTCAACGCACGTTTTTACCGCGATTCTCCATTTGCAGAACGTTTCTGCAAAAGCGTAATGCCACTCTTGTTTAAAAGCACTAGAGCGATATAAGCAGGATCCATCGACGGTGTACGCACACTGTACTTGGCGATATTTCATCTCTGAATTCTGTCTAAAACAGCATACGCGTCATTCGGAAAGTTCCATCGATCGAAATTCTCGCTTTCAATGTTATTCTTCTTCTTCTTCTTCTTTAACAGTAAGCACCATATCATGTTCAATATACTGTTCTTCGCTTCGACATCCACATATACTTACATGCATACGTATATTTAAGCGGAAACTTTCAGAATGATTGAGATACAGTAGCGAGATACTCGTCGATGGACGTTCGCTTCGATCTTATTTTTCACGAAAAAACCATCACTTGACCAAACCTTTGATGCTCCTGGGAAGGTTCGGAATAGAACCCTTGTTTACACTGGCGGCTGTCGGTCTCATGAAACTATGATTTCTGGTTCCGGCTCTTGGATGGACCAGCTTACTGTTCGTGGCCGAAGATGCCAGTTTATCGACGCTCGAACGATTCAACGATAGAGAGTGTGGGCCAGCGTTACCGCTGCTGCTGTTGCTACGCGAAGCGATCGTCCGTCCCTTGTTCCCTTTCTGAGCATCGATGTTCGACTGCGAAGAGAGAGAGAGAGAGAGAGATAGAGATAGAGATAGAAATGAGGCATGCTTGGTGCCTCGCCGTTCGAGTTGGAAGAGGGATGCTCACCCCGAGCGATTTGCGAACGGTTCTCGCGGTTGGACCAACGCTACTTCCGCTGCTGCTGCTTCTGCTGGCAGGTATTCTGCTGGTAAGAGTGGCGCGTGGATTCGTCCGACGTTTCTCGGTACTTTTCGCCGCCGGTAACAGACTGTTCGACGGACTTTTTCGCAGATCGTTGGTTAACGCACAGATCGCGGATGTGTAGGTGCGAAGGTGAGCATGGCTTGGAACCAAGTTTCGAACAGTGTTCACCGAAGTGGCGCTATTCAAGGAACTTCGCGAGCTGCGGAGACTGCTTCTCGATCCTGAACGTTCTACCTCGTTCTTCGACTGATTATTGCTCGATTGGATCGGTTCAGATTTTCTGGCCGTAACGTCTCGCCTGGAATTGTTGTTGGTCGTTCGTTTCGGTAAGAAACTGGATTTTTCGTTGGGTTGTTTCGCGGTCGGATTCGTCCGTTTCTCGAATCCTTTTACCGCAGCTGGAGACGAGGACAACGAAGAGGAGGAGGAGGAGGAGGAAGAGGAGGAGGAG